AGATAACCAGGGAGAGGTAAGCTTTGATCTGAGATTCACAGGAGATCTGCTATGTGGCCCACTGTGAGTGAGCATCGGGTTCTCATTCTCACAGATAAACTGGAGTTCCCTGCTTGGAGAGAGACAACTGTCCAGTAAGCAATAGGTGTCCCACAGCCACTGCGCTCTGTCCCTCATCACTTTTCCCTACCCCCAGCAGCCAGATGGCCTCCTCCCTCTTCTCTTTCCACAGTAAGACCCTGTTGCCTCTGGGCTTCCAGTTCCCACCCTAAGAGCACACAGAAGAATATGAGGTTGATATTGATTTATTTTTACATTTATTCAATGACCATGACTACTGATGTGCCCCAGGCACTTTGCTAGCAATGGGGAAGAATGAAAGAGACAGGTGAGGGAATAGAGGAGACATTTCCACTCTCCTTAAGGAGACAGTTTAGTAAACAATAAGCCTTATCATAGTTTGTGCTGTTTATTTGGTTCATTTCTATTTGTGCTCCCACTGGTCCCCTTGAGAGCTAACCCTATGCAAATGCCACTGTCTGTTCAAAGGAACCATTACCATAATAGTTGCAAGGATAATGTAGTGATCCTGAGTGTCTAACTTATAATAATGTCTAGCCTATAATAATAATAATAATAATAATAATAATAATAATAATTAATAATAATAATGATATATGGGACACCATTATGATCACACATAGCTTTCTATCATAATAGCCAAGTATTTGAGACATTAAAATTTTAAATAGAAAAGCTTTTGTTGGCTCACAGTCTTGAAGGGTTCAACCCATAACCAATCGGTCTTACTGTTTTAAACCTATAATGAGGCAGAGTATCACACAGGGAGCATTAGGGTAGAGGTAAACTGCTTTTCTCATTCCTAGAAATCAAAATTTAAAAGGAAGGATTAGAGTCTTACATTGTTCTCTAAAGTCATGCTTCTATGAAATAAACACCTGCCACAGAGCCACAGTAGTGTCACTTTGGAGAGAAGGTCCACTAAGAGTGGACCTTGGAGGATAGCTAAACCTTAACAATGAGGCACTTAACAGTGGAGTCAATAGATGATATCATTTTAAGTTACAGATTGACTCAATCCAAAAGAGTCAAGAGTCTGGTAGGAAGAAATCTGACATAAGTTTCTCCTACTATAATAGAATATCATAGACTGGGTAAAATACAAACTTCTATTATAATTCTATCTAGTTGACTTACAATTCTGGACAGTGGGGAGCAATGAAGGCTTCCTTGCTGTGTCAGAGAACTGTGGAGGGCATCACATGGTAAGAGTAGGCACAGGGAAGAGGGCAGAGGCCCCACCTTCCTCTTTTATCATTAGTCCATTCATAGGAGCTAACCTCTAACCTACTCCCAAATAATGGCCTCATATCCATATTCATGAGGGCAGTGCCCCAACAACTTAATCACTTTCTAAATGCCCTGCCTCTTAACACCATCATGATACCAATTATATTTCAATAAGAGTTTCGGAGAAAACTTTCAGGTCATGGTAGTCTATCAGTAAGTTTCCAGACTCAAAAATTCACAGTCCCTGGATGCCTGGTGGAAATAGGTCTTTTCAAGAAAGGATTCTGACCCAGGATGCTGTCACTGTACATACTGTACATGTTGATTCTCCTACCCACCTCTTCTCCCTCATCACCTCTCCTCCACCCTGTTGTTCCATAGCACAGATTCACTCTAGTATAATTCCAGAAGCTGAAAATCTGAGATGGTTTCCACTGGGACCATCAAGGTATCAGAAGGACTCTGTTTCTTCACAGATTGTAAGGGAGGGAGAACCTGTTTCCTCATCTGTTCCAGCTACTAGAGACTTCCTGTGATTATTCTCTAAACTATGAAGATATATTAAGGAAAACCCACAGGGAGACTGGTCCTGTGGTAGTTTGAATGTAAGCAGCCACCATAATCTCATAGGAAGTGACACTATTAGGAGGTATGGCCTTGTTGGAGGAAGTGTGTCACTGTGGGGGTGGACTTTGAGGTTTCCGATGCTCAGGATACCACGCAGTGTTTCTGTCAACTTCCTGTGGCCTGCAAGATGTAGGACTCTCAGCTCCAGCACCTTGTCAGGCTACCTGTCACCGTGTTTGCCATCGTGATGATAATGGACTGAACCTCTGAACTGTAAACCACCACTTCAATTAAATGTTTTCCTTTATAAGAGTTGCCATGGTCATGGTGTCTCTTCACAGCAAATGGTAGTCCTAGCTAAGACAGGTTCTATCCCTCTACACCAATATGGAAATTTTAAAGTACATGCCTGAGCAAGGGGCATATATCATTGCCACTATCCAAGAACCTCACTGACTCAAAGCCCTCCCTCACTTGAAAAGTTTCAAGGATTTAGTTATGTGCGACAAGTCAAGTCGTCCCCTCTATTGGGGAACACAAGTCACTGCAGCCTTCACATCCAGTACAAGGAAGAACAATGCTCACCAGAACTCTGGATTTTGGAGACACTATGTGTTGTGAATGGTGTGCTTCTCCACCCCTTTGCTTAGTGATCTGCAGGGCCGTTTCTTCTGAATAGAACTTGTAGTGAGAGGGAGTTCTGCAAGTCTATGCTATTATACAAGTTTCCTGCAACTTGAGTTTTGTGACCCAGTAGATGAAGTCCTTACTGGAAATGGCCAGATCAGCCAGGTCCAAAATAGAGTCATGAAAGCTGCCTCTGGTTCAAAAGTGTCTTCATCAACTTCTTTAAAAAAAAAAAAAAAAAACTATTTTATGTATATGAGTGGTTTGTCTGTGTTTATGTCTGTGCAACATGTTCGTGCCTGGTGCCCAAAGAGGCATGAAGAGGACACTGGGTCCACTAGGAATGAAGTTATAGATAGCTGTGAACTCCCATGTGAGTGATGGAACTAAAACTCAGGTCCTCAGGAATAACAACAAGTGCTCTTAACCCCTGAGCCATCTCACCAGCCCTGCCAATTTTTGTAGCCAGGGTCTCTCTATGTAGCCCTGGCTGGCCTGGAACTCACTATGACATTGACTGAACTCACTGCCCCTGCCTCCTTAGTACTCAGATTAAAGGTATGTGCTACCATGCCTTCCACCAATTTCTTACTTGTCTGTTATTATAATTAATTATGTCAACACTTAGGGGACCTCCTTGAATGTGGCTGCAATGGCAAATGACTGTTGACTATTTGAATTTCAGCAACTGCCTTGCTCCTAGGTTCTAGGAAAGGTTGAAGGCACAACCATGAAACATCAAGTGCACCAATTTCTAGAGCTGCTGTAACTAGCTGCCACAAGCTGGGTGGTTAAAACAATAGCGATTCGTTCCCTGGTTCTGGAAGCTAGAAGTCTGAACTCCAGAGGTCCTACACAGAGAATTCCTTCTGAGGGCGGTAAGGGAAAATGTTTGCTCTAGGCCCCTTTTGACTTATAGGTGGCCATCTTCCCCCTGTCGCTCTGCCATTTTCCCTGTGTGAGTGCCTCTGTTTCCCCATTTTAGAAAGACATGAATTACACTGGATTAAATCCTCGTTATTTAACATAGAGAGGACCTGTCTCCAAATGAGGACCTTTAGAAGATTCACTTTAGCAGATATCACCAACTGACTATACAAACGGGTTCTCCACAATGAGTGGAGTTTTACCTGATCTTCCGAATGATAAAGTGGGCATGTGCGGACTCATGGGATCACTAGACAGAAATGGCCTGTGTTGCGGAAGAGACAAAGCCACCGGCAAAGGCAAGCACCGCTGCAGAGAACTGGGATTCTGTCATGCCTCCCATCAGGTCAATACTTCTCCCTCAACTCTTTCCCACACTGACTTTGTAGAGAGTGCCCTGTAACCAAAGAACATGGAGCAAGAAGTATCCTTCTTTAGCAAAGAAAGCTAGTACAGCCCTCAGGGGATAGCTACTAATATCGAAGCCCTGCTCAGAAAGTCTTCCTAAGACATAGGACCTTGGTGGTCCACCTACCTTTCCACTCTGTGTGGGAAAGGAGTGATATGCCGACTCCAGTGGTGGTTAATATGTTGACTAGCTGATTGATGGAGGATTAATTTAAAACACCATCAAAAGGCTGATTCATGAAAGTCTCTCAAACTGTTCACTGAGTATGGAAATAGTCATGTATGAATGAAAGATTTATCCCAGAAAACAGGATGATCTATCCTGCAGACTCCCTCCAATGACCCTTGGTGCAGGCTTACAGGGTAAGCCCAAGGCTGATGTGGCTATCACTACTGTAATTGCCTCCACTATTGGAAGTGCTTAGACCAATGGACAGCAATGAGAAGGTCTTATACTGTTCCCTGTAGGCCTTTTTAGACCGCCTCTTCAGCTCCAGCCCAGGACTCCAGTAAGTCTTGATTCAACGTCTTCAGTGTTGGGGGCGGGGGAGGAAGAAACAGATGGATACTTGAGAGACATAATAAAGAGGACATTTTATGTATCTTAGTCCATTTGTATGGCATGCCAGGCACGATGATTTATAAAGAAATGCACTCCTTTGAATTGTGGAGGCATGAAAACCTAAGGTCACGTGGCTTCGGCGTTCTAGCAGTGCCCTGCCTGCACTCTTAACTGAAGCTGGGCAACTTCATGGTGGAGTGACTTAATGCTCCTGCATAATCCTCCTCCCTGTACAATAACACAATACACTGTAGAGCGGTGCTTAAATACCTCTCATGTAAGTGGCAGTGTTATTTTTCATGTCTTGATAAGAAGACGCCTGCAAAATAAGTGGATATTCCCTGGGGAGTACTAGCACAGATATTCAGCCCGAAGTGTCATTCAAAAGTGAACAGTCACCCTTGCTTGCCCTCTGCCAGCGCCAGATAACATGGAGCACTCAACTCCCCTCAGTATGACATACCTCTCCCGGAAAGAGATAGAGACCTGGCAGGTTAGTTTTGTCAGTGAGCTGTGAATCTGCCAAACTCTATGCCCTCTTGGACCTCAGCTCCCTCGTTTGTCCACGCAAGGGAGTAGCAGTTCAACCCCAATGTGCAATGTCCCTTTCAGCAAAGGGGGATCGCTGTCCTCCGAGTGCCCCCGACTCACAGCCGCCCCGTGCGCCACTCCCTGGTTCTTCCGCTGCCCCGCGCCGGCTCTACACACCGAAGCCTTGACGCTGAGCCCGCCTGGCGCTAACTAATGTTTAACTCGGGCCGAAACTTGGCGGCGAGCGCAGGGTGACTGCGTACAGAGCAGCGGCGCAGGACGTCCGTCTCTGCGCGCGGTAATTTGTGCTTGCGCTCAAGCCTCAGAGCTCAGTTCAGAGGAGCCGCCCGACCATGAAGGTGAGTGCACCCCGCCTCGCACCTCCCTGGCCCCGGGCTTGGGTTGTGGGTGCCCTTTCACCAAACTCTCCCCAAACTGCCCCAGATTTCCTGGAGGCAATCTGGAGCTGCCATTAGGCGGAAGGCACCGGGCCACCCTAACAGGCGAAGGAACGTCCCGTCCTGCACTTGCTTCTCCCTTAGATTTGTGGAGTGTCCTACTCAGACCCAGGCACTGAGCCTTGGAGGTCCGGGATAATCACCAGTGGAACGCACGCGGCACCTTCACTTGGCTTCAGACGAGTGGGTGGGAGGAGAGAAGCCAACAAGATCACAAGATCACGCTCCGGGCCAAAATTCAAGGGTTCCTGCCGGAGTGAGCCCCAAACCCCACCAGTCTACTCGTACACCTACAAACCCCTCTGCCTCTGAAGGGACCTAGATCCCAATCCTCTTCCCCGGGGAGGAACAAAGGCTTCTCTCTAATTGTTAATTGTTTGCCATCTGGCCTGCTTGCAGACACCGTGGAAGGTTCTCCTGGGACTGCTTGGTGTAGCTGCGCTTGTCACCGTCATCACTGTGCCACTGGTTCTGCTGAACAAAGGTAGAAACCTTGCAACATCTTACAAAAAGAAGAGTGGTTGGAGATGGGGTCAGGTGACATGTGATCATGCAAAGTGGGCTTTGTTTATTGGGGGCCTGGACGAGTGTACCGGATTATAGCCTAGAAGAGTGACAGACTCCATGCCTTGGCTGCTTCTGGGGTCTCTAGTGTTTAGGTTGTAAGCCTTGAGGCTTCCTCGTTTTGTTGTGTAAAGCAAACACACACTTCCTGAAACTGAGAGAGAGGCGCGGTTTCTTTTCATTAAATGTAATTGCAAAAATCTTAACCTCAAATTGATTTTAGAAGGCTGTGGTTGTCCATCTTCCAAAGTAGCCTTCGAAGATCCTAAACACAGCAATGAGAATTTCTTAAGTGGACTGGGAAATAAGAAAGCAAGCCCCATGGTATAATTTTGAAAAAAGAAAAAGGAAGAAAACCAGAGACTTTTTTCCCTTCAGGTATGACGAGAATTTGTCAGTTGTAAGATTCAGTTGTAGAGAAGCAATTATTTTACCATCTTAGAAACATTGCAGCACTAAATTGCCACTGAGCATAATGTAGTGACCTGAAATCAGTCAGCTTTTAGAGGGTTATTTCATTGAAAGTCACTCTCATGCATTTTCAACTTGCCAGAACCTTCCAGTTTAGCCTCAGCTTTTGGTACAAAATAGATAGATAATGAGGTGCCACTACTGAATGCAAACGAGTGAGAAGAGCTCATGAGGGTCTCCCCTGGCTCTTCTTCTCCTGTGGACACTCGGAATTACTCACTGCACATTGTGCACACTCTGAACCAGCCTCTCTGGGTGGAAATGGAGTCAAGTGGCCTTAGTCAGATTTCAAGACAACAATTAAAAGTTAGTATGTAGCGCTATCAAAAACATTCCATTTCATAATGGAGCAAAGGTACCAACGATTAATAATTGAACCCACTGCTGATAATATTGAATTAAGATATCAGTAGTTACTACTCTTTTAGGCAATGGAGTTCTGTCATCACAGAACTAAGGGGGACCCAAAGTTCAAGGCCATCCTCAACTACACAGGAAACTGAAGGCCTACCTGGAAGACATGAGACCCTATCTTGAAGTAAATAAAAAAAATTTAAAAATTAAGTAACATTCAAAAATCCATGTGAGGAAAAGATGAGCCATATCTAGAATCAAACAATCTCAAAGTAGCCTAGATAGCCGATTTTTCTTCACAAAACCACAGAGGTATCACAGCATCCCAGGAAAAACTGTAACCATAGAACTTCCTCAAGGGAAACTATTGGGATACGGCCTATGGATAAGCCCACTTGAGATGGACAATAAATAATCTTGGGGACCAAGTCATGAATTTGCTTTCCTCCAAAGGGCTTGCTCAAATTATCACTAACTGTGAGATTTCTACTTTACTGGATAAAGTATGCAGACTCTGGAGGGCCTGTTTTGCCCTTTCGGTGAACAGCATCCACTCTCTTTTCTAAACAAAATATCAAGGATGTTCCTCTTCAGAGGGTTTCCTGAGAGACTCAAGTGTCCCCCTTCACTGACTCTTAGGATTTAAGCTAGGGAGGCCTGAACACATTGCCCTAAGAACCGGAAGGAGCTCTCTTAGGGAATCTGGAAAAGTTTGAAGATTCAGAAAACATGCATGACTTGTGTGACAACACACAACGATCATATTCTGTGCTCTGGGATTCTACAGATCTGAGGGCCAGAGAAGAAGCAGAGAGTAGCAGAAGCAATAAGTGAGCTTTCATCCCTAGGTGATGTAAGGCTATGGAAAATTATGTATATTTAGATGTGTATATTTTACTTTATGTATGAGTGTTTGCCTGCTCTAGGTATCACTTGGATACCTGGTGCCCGTGGAAGTCAGAAGAAGGTACTGACTTCCTGGAATGCAGTAACAGATGCTTGTGAGCCATCTTGTAGGTGCTGGGAATTAAACCCCTGATCCTCTCCAAGCGCTCTCACCCACCGCTGAGCCATCTCTCCAGTCCCTCCTCCTCCTTTAATATATGGGGGAATTTTGAGCATGCCTGGACTCCTGGGCTTGAGAGTGGAAGTAGGGTGGACTGGAATGAAAAGCAAGGAACGGAACGTGGACCCAAACAAGGCACAGTTCACAATTTGGAAGCTGGAAGCTACTCAGATGTGAAGGACTATACTTTTGTGACTGGTTAACCTCAAGAGAGTGTGGGGGAAGGTAGCAGAGAATGCCTCCTGGGGACCTGGTAGAAACCTGATTTCCTGGTAGATTGTTTACACTCACATTGTTCTTTCTTTTTACTTCTGAATCCTCCTGTGTGTTTAGATAGAAAATGAAAGTCATCGTGTTTCATCTCTTACCTTATCTGAGGGGGCAGAGGTGACAACCCAGGCATGTAGCAGCGTTTCCACTAGGTCAGCAATACCTTTCCCGGGCTGGGCCACATAGTAAGGGATTCTTATGCTCTTATGCGCACACGAACCCAGTTTCAGCCTGATGAGAAGATGAGAGGCCTGCCCGCCCCACCCCATGCCCAAGGTTTAACATCACACCACCTCCAGCAAAGAAGAAGCAGGAGGGGAGAAGTGTAGAGGGAGAGAGAATGTGAAATTGAAGGAGGGAGAAAGAAAAGAGAGGAAGGAGACTTCACTGAAGACAGAAGAGCCCCAGATTATGTGCAAAACAAAGAATTAAACAGCTAAAAGGTCAGCGGAAGGGCAAACCCAAGTGCTTCCCCTGAGAGGCTAGTTTAAGACAAGGTCAAGGGTTTCCTTATGAAATGCTGACGTCAACAAAACCAGATGTACTGAACACATGGAAAGGGTGGGGTAGGGGACGACTTCAGAGTATTGTCTTTTTATTTGTAAAGATAAAAAGCTTCCTGAAGTCGGAAGTTAGCTCAAGTCGGAAGTTCCTTCTCTAGGAAAAAATAAAACTTCACTGCTTGGTGTATGTGTAGTGGATGTAAAGCTTCTCTTTAAACTTCCACTTACCTTGTTAGAGACATGTTACATTGTGTTTCCCAGAGAATCAGCAATGAAACTATCAACACATGCTACTTGTCAGAGTAGCAAGCAGCCAAGTGGAAATGAAGCTTTCTCATTCAAAATTTGTGACTACTTCACTTTATAGTGTGATATTTGAATCATTTAGTTGTCAAATAGTTTTATTATTCAGTTTAATTATGGAATAGAAATCACGCTCTCTCTCTCTCTCTCTCTTTTGCTCCTTTCTCTGCTCCACAGTAAATTTCCTTAATATCTTCTTTTAATTCATAAGAAACTTGACTTCTCATCCACTGCCAGGACTAAAAGAAAACCCAAATATGAGGAGAAAGGAACCACCAGGGAGATAAAAGATCACATCTATAAAGTTTCCTGAGAGAATCCAGGATCCATTCCCAGTTGAAATAACAGAAATGAGCCTGAAAGGAAGCTTTGTGTATGTCAGAGGACAATCTCTCCATGCCCTGCTCTATAAGAGCTCAGTGGACCGCTGTCAGCCTTCCTGAGTGTTCCAGTCATCATGGTTGGTGTTTTTCAGGCCGCAATTTGAACTTTCCTTTCTCTAGCTATAGTATGAGCCTTAACTTTCTTTGCCTTGGAATCCTTTCCTCTCCTCTCCAAAGAGATCAGAGATCAGAGGCAGGGAAAGACAAGATTGTTGGCCTGGTTAATGGTCAAAGAATCACAACCTAAAGCACCTGACCAGAGCTGGCATGGTGTGCTTTTCATATCAAGTTCTGAAGCCCCAGGCGAAGGTGGCTAGAAATGCAGAAGCAGCTTACTTTGTGGGAGAGAAGGTGTACAAGTGTGAAATTGTGAAATGATAGTGTGTGCCTTTTATTGGGCTGAGTGTCTCCATGTATTTCTCTTTTAATCCTTAAGAGAATTCTTAGAGAGAAAGTAGTACTATTAGCATTTCCATCTGAAAGAAAAGGTTACTTCTTCATGAAGAAGGAATTTCTCCAAAGCTTGAGGCAATAGGCATTATTTCCTAGATTATGAATGAGGAATTTGGGTGTGAATCACCTTGGGATTCTGGTTTAGGGTCTCTCCTGAGGTTGTCACCTGAAAGGTTAACTGAATTAACATCCTATGCAAGATCACTCACCTAGAGCTTAGCTAGAGACCTAAGTCTCCCTGCTGTGAGCCTCTTAAGTCAGCAAGGCAGATAGATGCAGTTCTCTTGCAGGAATCACAAGAAGGTCTAAGCAGGAAGGCCCGGTGCCTGCCATGACTTAGTCTCAGAAATGGCCATCACAACATCAATTGTGGTGTTTGTTATTAGCAGTACAGAACAACCCTGATACAACTAGGAGTTGAATGGGGCTAGCAAACACCAAAAGGTGCGTATCACTGGACCATCTTGGAGGATGATGCCAAAGAAATTAAGAAACTCTTTCAGTGTTCTGTAGAGTAGAGATATGTTATACATAGACCATGTATGTGCCTCTAGCTGATACTTGATATTGTTAAACCCGACTGTCATTTTGTTAGCTTGTGATCAAGTATAAAATCAGTTCAGTTGGGTCTTATTAACATAATTGTTACAGCTTCTAATTTACATGACTATAACATAACATGTCTTCACTGCTAATCTCTACATTTTAAATGTTTTGAGGAAAAGAGCTTATTCCAGAGGCCTCTATTCCTATAAAAAGCTATATGCAGGCAACAACTTGAAGAATGAACATTCCAGACTTTCCCACCCAATAACCCTATATGATGTTGGAGAATCCTGGGGATTAAATTAAGGGCCTCATGAGTGCTGAGTACTCTAACCCCTGGGATACCCTAGGCCAGCATCTGTGTTTTTGAATGGTCTTATTGACAGTGGGAGTAGGAGTGAGCCAAGAGACACAGCTCCATGACGCCACCTGCAAAAACAGGAGAAGTTCCATTCAGAGACCTCCACTCATTCAGATGAAGCTGGGATCCTTGACTTCACAACAAGAATTTTGGGACATGCCAGTATGAGAAAGAGTTGGAGTGCATTACAAAGAGATTTTTAACATAGAA